TRCTATTTCGATACCTATAAGGGCATGATTCACAGGGTTTACAGGAGCCTACAAATCTTATTGCTCATTGCTGTCCAAGAATCAAGTTTCCAAATATAACCARGTATAGAGTCTTGTTTTAAGGAATATACTTTGTAAATGAAATTGCAGTCCTTCGAGGRGAAAAGCTACCACTGTCACCAGTGCATCTAGTTTTTTAAAGCTGCACAGAGCAGACATTTGCAAAACATTATGATGTAGGAAGCAAATTAAGTTTGGGAGAATAAGAACAACCTAAAATACTAACTCTGGAATTAGCCTACATTCAGTCTGGCATACCTCAGAACCTGTAAAATACCACTCAAGAAGATTTTAAATCTGTGCTTTTATTTGCCAGTTTTCAATAATTCTAGAGTTTCTCTGCCTATGTTTCATTTCTTCACATACAGAAGTTTGAAGTAGATATAYTTACTCATTTGCTCCTGGAGAACACACACACAGATGCTATTTTGTTAGGTATGATATAGCACGCAAGGTCATCACTGCTTATGACTTTTGTCAAGCATTATTAACCTTTTATTTTACTGACTCACACCRCTAGCCTACAGCTTACTCACCTGCTTGATGCCCAGCCCCTTCTCATGCATGTAACCCAGGTTAAACATTGCCTGGGCACTGTGTTGCTGCTCTGATGCCAGCCGATAATGAATAAATGCAGTTTCATAATCCACATCGGTGCCAAAACCATAGAAATGATAATCTCCGAGTTTAATTCTTGCAACGGTATATCCTATAAATCAAGGAAGAGTAGAAAAATACAGAAAAATAAAAAACATTTCCCAAGATCCAGAGAGAGGAGTCTTTAATTTTACAGGAATTTGCTTTAAAAAGGACTTTTGAAAAAGTTCTTCCTTTCCAGCTTGCACCACCTACTTATTTCTCTCCCATGTAAATAGCTTTTCTWGAAATAATTGAATTTAGATAACAAAAGCACAACTGTTTTTCTATTTTTCACCAAAGTAATAATACCAACAATCTCTGCCACATTCCTATTTAACATCATCAGTTGAAAATGCTGTATGTTGTTGTTCATAGTCACATATTCAAGAAAACATAATTTTATAATTTTAGGCACTACTGGGACTATAGTATTAAGTTACTTAGTAACACYTAAGGGTTTTAACTTTTTTTTAAAATGGAGATATTCAGGACGTGAAAAGCAGTCTCTAGTAATCATTTGGTAACTGAATACTCAGAGGACAACATTGTAGTCCTGCAGATTTCTGGACAAACCCATTGTCTCTCTTTGCATGACACCTGCTCAATAATCAGCTACTAGACATTGATGTAGATGCATGATGTAGGTGCATATACACGTGTGAAAGTTACACTTCACAGGTGTTCAATAACCAAGTTTCTCTGCTTATTTTATGATAGGGTCATATGCACCAGTGCACAATCTCTGSTTCATTGCATATCAAGGCTGGATTCTTGACCAGTGAACTTTGCTTGCTCGGAGTAGGAAACAGTGCTTCTTAATTTATCACGAGAACCAACATCCAAAAGGGTATTTACAGGCATTTTGTCAGAGTGATCTATTCTTAGAAAGTCAGTTTCAATACAAATTCTTCATAATACTATTCAATACTTCCATACTATTCTATAATTCCCTATGGAATAGGGAGAGAAACAATATATACACACACTATGTCCACAAATCTGARTTTCCTTTTATTCTTCAGCACCACTGAATTGCAAGTATACTGCAATGACATTATAATTGCTAGTGGAATGAAGAATGGCAACTAACCTAATGCAGAATATAACTAATGCYGAGAAGAAACACAAGCTTTCTCTCCTTTTTCATTATCTGGAAATCAAACATTAGTGCCTCTATTAAATAACTCAACTGGAAATGTAAAGTATAAAAAAGCTTGAAGATTACAGTTTGTATCTGTGGAATGACTGGGAGTTATCATCTACAGCAAAGGAGACTATGAACAAGACTTGGACAGGCAGATGTGGAACAGGTCACTTAAATATTTGATCCAGCTTGTAGTGGGAAATTGCTCGTATGCCACATAAGTCTTAAGAGCTGGCTCTGCTTGGTGAAACTGTCTCCAGCTGCATACAAGATAATACACTCTTTTGGGAGACTAAATAATAACAATAAAAAGATGGTATCCGTTACCGGGCACGCTCCAGCCTAGCTATCAAGCCTCAGGCAGGAGCCCTACCTTGAGAAGCTGCTCTATTCCAGTGAAGCAGGGCTCGAGGATAGGTTTCGTTTTCTCCCACTATGCTAGCTTCTTCTAGAGAAGAAAATAATGCAGTTATGAGTGAACACAGTATGTAAACACAAGCCCCAGAAGGCACATCAAAAAACCTGTTTATATTCATAATTCAAATTAGTGCTACAGTAGAAAAGATAGCACTTGCAACTAAAACCTCTATTTCTCTGTCTTTTCTGTATCTCTGGCTCACACTAGGCTAGGAACAGCAAATGTAAAAYCAGTCTTTTGTAGTTTCTGAAAAAAGTTATTTATATTTCTGTCATTTTGCTGTGACCCCCAAGTTTTAGGCATCTGAAAATTAGTTGCTTAGTAGCAGTGAAAGAGTGATAAGCTTTTCTAGGCCTAAGGGAACCAATTGCTTGGCACTTTATCTGTTTCAAGTGTACAACAAGCAAAAAAACACTGAGAAGCCATGACAAATTACAGAACAAGGGAAAGTGCAGCTTGTGCGCAGAGCAAATAATGTGATAACTAATATTATTCTCTACTTCAGTAATTAAAAAAGTGAAAACTCCTCAGAAAGTCTGGGAAACTACAGCACTGTGCAGACATGTAAATCATTCTCACTATCCTCCATTCTTTTAACTCCTAGAAGAATTTAAATATATCTTGTCTTTTTAAGCCAGAACGTTATCCTTAGAGGTACAAAGAAAACTAACTCCTTGTCAGTGTGAAGAGCAGAAGAGGGACAAAAGTTTCACTTAGAAATTACAAAAACTATTTAAGTACTGATACTAAGCTATTTAAATATTTTGCTAAGAGTCCTTACTCTGATCAAGTATGAAAGCAGCATTGCTCTGTGCAACTTCATAGCCTTGCTCAGCCAAAAGAAGATACTGAACCACAGCAGAATTGGAATCACCATCCTTATAGCTGTTGTAGGCAGTCATGAGTCTTTCAGACCAACGGCCTCGTTCACATACGTTCTTAAACAGCTGCAGAGGGAAAAAACAGGGAGAATGGTTGGTGTGCAGCTCAGAAATCCAGATTTAGTAAAAGGTCCACCTTTAAAAGCTTTTCAGGGTATTTAATATTTCAAAGGGAAAGCTAGAGATTTTTGTTTTGTGAGACACCCTCACCTCCACAGCAGTATGACAGGATCGCATGACTCCGGTGCCAGTGGCGTGCATCTGAGCCAGGTTATAAAAAGCCAGGATGTGGCCACCCTGGGAGGCCAAATTGAAATATTTCAAAGCTTGTTTATAGTCCCTCTTGACTCCAATACCATCTAAAAGAAAAAAAATGTATAAGTCAATACTACTCATTCCTCCCAAAAAAGGACAGCTGCATGAAACAGTATGCACTTCATTAAAAATTTACAGAAGGAAACATTATGCAAATATTCAGAAAGGCCTTACATCACCTTACACATAGTTAAGTATTTCTAGTCCTCTAATGCCACCTAGTGACCACTGGGTGAAAGAACAGAGGCCAATCCTGATAATCCATCCTTTTGATGCCACTTACTGTAATACATGGAACCTAGTTGCAGTTGTCCATCCACCCATCCCTGTTCCGCAGCCTTCTGGAAATACTTGAGTGCCAGTTCATAGTTCTGTAGGGATARTGGGAGTGGTCATTATAGCCATGCAATCCACCACAAACTGAAGAACCAACACGTGCCCATGTACGTGGACAGACCTTTTTTCTTACAGAAGAGTTGCAACAAGATGGTCTATTGTGGAAACGTCCTGAGCCTGAGTTCAGATGTAGCAAATGCTAGTGTCACTGTGGCCCAGCTGAAGGCTAGTAGCCACATACAGCACTGCCATGACTTGGAAAGGCTTAGTCAAATGAATGCTCTGTTCCATTTTAAGAACAAAGCTCTAACTTACTTCCTCAACTTTCAGTTAATTMAACTGCTTGAATAACTGTTTGCACAGCTAACTACAAAGCATTTGATAAAGAAACCCTTCATGTGGGGGAAAAACAGGGGGAATGCCTCAGGCTTCAAGCATTCCTCCAGTTTTCTTTKCATCAGAAGAAAGAAATGGAAACAGTTGAGATTTCTTAGTTCACATTTAAACCATAAATTTAAACCTATCACCAAGAAATCACTCTGCTSTAACACATTCTGCCATCTTCTCTTAACTGTTGAAGGAAGTATATATGCTCATACTTTTAAATGCAGCAGAAGTCTTCTGAATAATTTCTCTATGGTACTTCCCTCCCATGATGACATTTGTTGGCAACAAATTGCATAATCACCTATCAGTAGAAAGGAGACTGCCAAAGCTTACCACTGGGACACCTCTGCCGTAGAGATAAGCCATTCCTAGTCCACTCTGTCCAACTGGATTACCCTGAAAACATAGGAGAATATTTCTGAAAAAAGGCAAAACATGTGGCTGTTTCCAAATTGGCACTTCTTTAACATCACTGGAACAGTTAAGACAGAATTCATCATTGCTCCTATTAAGTAATAATTCACAGAGAAAAGAACAGTAGGTAATTCTTTCCTAGTAACTACACAGCTGATATTAACCCAAAGTATACAGTAGTAGTTATAATTACAGTGCAATTTCAAAATGTTGTCTAGGATACAAACTTCAGAAAGGCAGAGGCATTAATACTTCCATATGCAGCTTCTCCAAGTTTGGGATGTTCTGCATGTGCCAGAAGCTCCCAGAACAACTATGGGAGCTCTGAGAAACTGTCTGAAGTTCAGGGCAGAGGAGGCTGCATTACTGACTAGTGCCCCTCAAGCAGTAAATACTACAGCAGCCTGTCAATGCCAAAGGAGGCAATGAGGCCCTCCGGAGACTGCTGCTGAACACCTGAACTGAGCACAYGAGATCCTTGCTCAAGGCAAAGGTGCAGAGCAGCAATCTAACTGTGGCATAAAGAAAACATGTAGACAGTATCTTCTTAAGAGTCCCTTCAAAACTTCATTGTTTGCAAGCTCACCACCTTTCCTCGAGGATTATTTATGCTTTAACTCTGCAAATGCTACCATCAGGAATACATGGAAGAAGGAAGGAATAACATTCAAAGAACAAATAGTCTAGTTAGATATGGGATCCTACCATATCAGCAGCTTTCTTGAAATACTGAAGAGCTGTTTCATTGCTCTGAGGCACAATATCACTTCCTTCCGAGTACATCTGAAAAAAAAACCCAGCATAAGTCAATTCAGGGTATAAGTCATGAAGCACTCTAACCTCACATATGAGGAAATCTATTAGCCTTATTATGTTAGTATAGATTAATCATCATAGAACTTATTCAGAAGCAGAAAACACCTGARGGTTTACTTTGCAATGGAGAATTATCTCCCCATAAATTAAAAATGTTCATGGCAACATTCTCCACATTTGTTCACCTTGTACCCATATGCAGTAGAGAATACAACCAGGTGGACAGGTCCATGGTATCAGTTATAGATCAGACTATCTTACTAGTTAAAACTCTATTTGGAAAGAAGGCACTGTTTGAAAATAAATCTTCCTAAAGGAAAGAAGCAAATAGTAACACAATATCATRCCCATATCTTGAAATACAATCTAAAACACTAGCAAAACCAAGTACCTCCACCATTCAAACTCAAGATATGTTGAGATCAGAAAGTAAAGAATTACCTACTATATTCTCCTGCAATACAGCTAATTTCCTTACTTTTGACTGCTCTTATCTTACCTTTCCTAGAAAGGCCATGGCATGAGAGTTTCCAGCATTAGCTGCTTGGTTGAAGTACTCAAATGCTCGCTGTAAGGAAGAAAACAAGTATTTTGGCAAGCTTAACATACAATCTGAATACCTTATCTTACAAATAGAAGAGACATGAATAGATAGTCTGCTAAACTATCATATTTGGCTGGGAATAGACAGGAATTATCAATCTCATCAAATTTAATGTATGTTACAGTGTTCCCTCAAAACAAGAGCTAGCAGTAAACAGTATTCCAAAAGGCAGAGGAAAAAAGAAATTGTTCTGCATATTTTTTTCCCTAAAAACTCTGCACAGAAAGATGGACATTGGAAGTTTCTATTTGCACTTTACATGGAGCTTGGACACAATCAGCCTGACAACTCAGCGTCTCTGAACCCTTACATAGCAGTCAGTTGAGGTATTTTAACACGATGGCCATGAAATCATTCCTGGTTGGTAGCTGCAATAACCTGCAGGACCTCTATCTTTAGCTTTACATTTTTCGTTTTTAGTCTTAAAGTTTCAATTGAAAATTTCACTATTGTAAATTATTTAACAGTAGCTAGGTTGGTTTACACGAGCAGAAAATTTTCCTATGGCCACTTAATGCAAACAGTGCATAAAGTCAGAGTTTTGGCTATGGAAGCACAATGCTCTTGCAAATCAGAGTATCATTTTTAATGCACGCMCAGTACAGCACGTAGATCTCACCACACATGCAGAGTCAGTTTCAAATACTACTTGATGAAGATTTCTTTTTCTTTGGACATTTCTAGAACATTTCTAGTTTAAGACAAGTTGTCTTTAACTGCATAGCAAAGAACCTGTTCATTGTATTAATCAGAAAAGTACAMAGATACTTAAGTTTTATTCAGGGAAGCTGTTAAAGTCACCTAATTGTATCGCAGCCCTTAAGCAAAAGTTGGCTTCACTGTGGCCTTTGCTAGTGTATGATACTTCAAATGCTTCGCCCCCATTCCCCACAAGTGGAACAGGAATTCATAGTACACAGAAAGGGTACCTGGTGATTTTGTTCTACTCCTCGTCCCCCGTGTAAGTGCAGCTGACCAAGGCCAACCTAAAAATGTAAATTTATATTAGGGCCAAAGATGCCACAGTTTGAAGGCACAAATTCGTCCCTAGGCTTACAAAGCAGTCCTATTTTCSCCTGTGAGTTTGAAACAAAGTAGAAATTAACCCTGGAAAATAGTAACTGTCCTAGGTATAAAATAGTGATTATCCAATTGTATCCTCGCTCCCAATTCTTAAACAAGATCCAACCAACCTGAACTGTAACAATTTGCCATGTCCCATGTTAGTCACCTCCTCTCCTTCCAGGCTGTGTGTTCAGGAGGGCTTCTTGCAGCACACAGAAGCCAGGCAAAACACACGCAATGACAAACTGAGGTTCCCTGGTAATGTCAGCTCTTTTGATCAAGGCTTCTACCATAACATTCAAAGTTATCCTTAAACTAGTCTGGCTTGTTTCTAATGAATGCCAACATACTCTTTCCTAAACCGTGAAAGCTGTAAACTTTTCACACTTGTTTACCACAAAAAACTTCATTTTTTCTTCAAGTTCTACTTAAAACTTATTTAATTTCTCCTAAAAGGAGAAATAAGTATTTGGCTATATCTAGCAAACAATTTAATTTAGGAGGAAGAGAAACTAAAGCTCTAAGGTCTTAGACAATTCATAAAGCTGTTCCTGTAACTCCTGAATACTTTCCCACCCCATCAGGTCAACCTGATTTTACCTGTGCTTGTACATCYCCTTTCTCTGCTAAAAACTGGTAATATTGAATCAAATCTTCTTCCAGCATTCCACTTGCCATTCCTGGATTTTCTACTTCATCTGGTAGGCGAATTCTCTGAACTACAGTGCCACCGGTCAAAGAAATGTCACTAGCAACTGCAAAAAARATGAGGAAAAGTTTCAGGCACCTTTGTTCAATACAAATTACATTGTAGCCTAGTAAACAGATCTCTATAGAGCTTCAAAATGTTGTTCACTGAGAGAATTAYTCTGCCAATTTTTCAGAATTAAAAGCATTAAAGAAACTAAAAAAAAGGCATTAAAATAAGAYACCTAAATTTAACAGAAGTTTATGTATTTTTAAATCATTCAGAAACAGAAGTCTAGTAAAGAGAGCCTTACCATGATTAGCTACAAGTCGGTAGTGAGTGAGAGCAGACTCACAACTCTGAAGGACTCCTATCCCAGCCCAATAGCGGTAGCCCTAGGAGGGAATTATAAAGACATGGTACTGCCTGGTGTTCTAGCAACAATTACCTGCCARGTTACAAACATGTCCTCACAGGACCATGACTTGAGCAAGATTTGACAAGACAGACAAAATGAAGGCGAAAGACATTGTATCTTACAAGTAACCGGTTGATACCATTAAATATTAACAGAAGCTGATACGTGTTATATTATTCAGGCAAAAGCAAATAAGCAAACTGACATTTATAGGTGAAAACCCAAAGGCCCTTCTCCTTAAACACATTGCACTTTGTCTTTAATTGCAGCATCAAATAAAACAGGATCTCCAATAAGATCTCTGCCTTTCATTTGTGATCACCCTCTACGAATTAAAGATCTGATGCTTCAAGCTTTAAGTCAAAAGAAACACAATTTTTTTCCATTTAAATCTATGTTCATACCCAGCTAAGCACAGAGATTTTTCCGTAAGTTAACAATGGACAATGAAAACACCATGATCCACCCATCACACTCATGCTAATCTAACATTTACTTAGATAAAACCATTGGAGTGCAAGTCTTCTGTTAAAAGTTTAAGGGAGGAAAGTTTTATGTGCAAAACTGAAATTCACTATGAATTGTTACTTACCAAGATCATATGTGCTATCAGATTTCCTCCTAAAGCTCCAAAAGTGTAATACACCAGGGCCTTAAAACAAAACCAGTGGTTATTTAACATTTGCCTACATGATACAATATGAGAACACCTACAAAATATTTGCCAGTTACCTTGGCTTGACTAGAATTGACTCCTAGACCAGATGCATAAAGAAAACCAAGAGCCTGAAAAAAAAAGATTTTATTAAGAAGTGCGTACAAAAGGTTAGTAAATGTGTAAGTTAGTACATACTTTGAAAAACACAAGACTGCCTGGAGCACACACACATACAAAGAAGTCATAACAGCTAAAAGCTCCCACTCTGGTACCTGCTATATCTACACATTTTCCTGCCCTTTTTAACAAGGGAAGTATCTAAATTTTGCATCACCTGACCACTGCCCTGAGTGTGCTGTGCCAGAACTCATTCCCACAGACTCAACATGAGAATGCACCAGCTGCTGGTCTGTGTTGATGCAGATCCAGCAGTTCTGACCATTAAAAATTCGTTAGTTTAATGAGACCTCAAGGGAAGATCAGCAACATCTGTCAGGTCMCTTGCATAGGTTTGCCAGTGTATGGGACACAGAAGAGTTTCACTGTTTGATTTTCTGTCCAAGATGCTATTAATTTACACCTTTGCATGGTCTACTCTGTTGCAGGCTAGTTGCATTTATGACTATAAATACAAGTAGTTACAATGTCAGGAGCTGCTTGCCTGAGCTTTTCTCAGAAGTTATTTTTATTCTTAATATTTACACAAATACTGCTGAATCCAGAACACCTGTTAACAGCTGTGTGGTTCAAACGAGAAACTAGAATAAAACATCCAACTAAACACTTAAAATCACAACATCCTAAGACTATTCTAGACGATTTTCAAAGTGCTAAAAGACCTCAGGCAAACAGCAATGAATGCAGATCAATAAAACTGAAGTCTGTTTGAGCTACAAGACCTCTATGGAAAGCACATGTTCCTGCTTTCTGATCAACACCAACACTCCATCATGAAATCCCCCCTTTTTGGAAGTTGAACGTACAAACATATGAAGTTGTACATATAAACAATTCCAACACATTCAAAGACACATGAGAAATGGAATGACCACTGAACAGATGCCAGGATTCCCTAGGAGCTCATCATTTCCTGAGTTATAAACTTGACTACATCTCTCCTTAAGATACAATTACAGATGAAAAGCCACTGCATCTGAAATCCTATATAAACCACAGAAGATTTAATGGAGAGATTCAGAGAGGATTTGTTGCCTACAGTCATCAGCATTTATCTGGTTTTGATTATACATTCAATTTAGTTAGTCATATAACAGAAGAAATTAGGTGACAAAATCACTACACTATTACCAGTAGTTTAATATTTAAGGCTCAAAGAAAACTCCTGTTTCCATTTAGATGCAACTTATCCTGTGTTTCCACTTATTTTTACTTTTTCAGTGCACAAACCTAGACTGTTCCTCTATCCAGTATCTGCTAGACTGTTCCTGCACCCTCAAAGCCAGCACAACATCTATAAAGCAAATCAAATAAATTACACAATTAAGAAATGTAAGGGTGATGAGTAGTCAGGTGTAGGAATGCTCAAACATTAGTAACTAAAAGATTGAGTCAAAGCCTGAACCAAAGATTGCACATTAAGTTTTTAAACAAAATGAATAAGCAGGTTGCTTGCTGTCATACATAACCAGGCAGCAGATACAGACAGGAGAAAGGCAGCTTCCTGCACTTACTGTTCTTACCCTGTACCAGAGACAACCCTCTAAAGCTGCCCAATCTGAAGAAAAGCTTCTGCAGACTTCAGGGACATACATACCATTTGTCCCTTAGGAGAGCCTTCCTCTGTTAGTTTTTCAAGTAGTTCCTTGGACGACTGGATGTTTTGCTTCAGGTAGTCCCCAAACAGCAAAGCGTAAGAGACCTTCTCCATTGCCTTGGTATGGTTCATGTCAGCTGCTTTCAGAAGATACTGATATGCTCTTGAAGGAAAAGAGTTTGCTAGTCAGCTTCAACCAAAGCAGGCCCCATGCATAAACTATATACACAGCTGCAGTGCTCTGCTCCTGTGTTAACAGTTGCATTCCATATGTCTACAATAAATTTATAGGTATTTGTTCCAGATGTAAAACATCTATGCTGTTCAACAGCTCCTAGGATTCACCTAATAGACAAAGCCATTTCCTGTTAACTGTACCACACCTGCAAAAGCCTTATGCTTTTTCCTCCCTGCTATAAGATTTGCTAAAAGTTTAGAGTCAAATTATTTCATTTTTATAACAATAACTTTAAGTCCTGGGCTATGTACCTAGTAGGACCACCGCTCTCTTTCAGTGTATACAAACACTAGCCAGGTTCTAGCTTTGGCTTTGCCAAGGTGGGATGGAAAACATCTAGCTGTGCTTCAGTTTCCCCAGTGCTTCCTTCCCTCTGCAGAAAAGTTTAATCCTGGTATATTAACGTGACTAGGTACCTGTCTAACTTACACTAGGAAGCCAAAAACTATTTAATCAATAAATGGAGATATTACAGTGGGAAGTAGACTGACCAGAATGAACATCCACTTCATTCTTTCTTTTTTCATTCCCTCTTCCTTCTACTTTGTACAATACTAATGACTACAGTTGTAATTGCAACAATTTGAATAATTGTGAGCAATATTCAGTAATACAGATGCAATTACAGCAGCTTGGTGCTATTTCAATACATTTTTATGGTGAGTAAGAATATCAGAAAACAGGAAAAAAACAAAACAGGATAAGAACTGTTCATCTTTCCTACTTGATCACTGAAGAAGAACGAGAACAGAAATGCAAGAAAATGTGAAAGGATAGAAAGAAATGCAGTGACATATATATGTGTGTATATAAATAGCTATATATCAATCACCTTGTACCACATTCTTAGTTTTTTACTGTATAGCAGCTACATATACATCATAGCTAGATAACTGCACTAGTCTGTATATTAAGTCAACATTTGGAGTCACACTACATAGTCTTAGAAGTACTGAAATTCAGTCTCATGTCAAGATTATGTATTTTGTTGATTTAGAGGAAAGCAAATTGATTTATGGCTCCCACCACTCCTAAACCACCACTCCCAACCATCTACCACCACTCCTAAACCATTTCAGCACCATCACTGTATAACTTAATGCTAAGTCCCAGAAACATCACGAAAAACAGGAAAACATCGGTTGCTATTAGTTAAACCCAAGTGACAAACCACATTGTCATTCTCCTGCAGGGCATGGAAGCAATACACTTACTCTTTCTTCTGAGCCTTTTTACTGCTCTCATTGAGGATTTTCATTCCAGTCTGATAAACATCCTCAGCTTCTTGCATCTGTCTTCTCTTATTAGACTGCTCTTCAGCTGAAAAAAGTACATTAAAAGCTCCAATTACACAGCTCCAGGTTATTCTCTCAATCTTCCTAAAGGACACATAAGTGCAAAATATATCCAGAAAAATATTTCTGAAGATCAATGAACAGCACAAGCRACAGCAAAAAGTTATCTGAAATAGCTGTTCTACATCTTTGGAGACAACTTCTTCCCATTTGATCTCTCAGGTTGYGGTCTCTCCTTTCAATGCTCCAAAGGAAATTGTAAAAAGAAAACTCACTTCCTTCAGCAAGACATTTGCTGGGAAAAGGCTGCATTTGTGTAACAAGTACAGTGCGAAACACTGCCAAATTCCTATATTCCYGCAGACTGAGAAAGGAGGAATTTAGAGTCCTCCACTGCAAGAGCTCCCAGAGATGTCTGCATTATATTCTTATCTTTTTCATGATTTCTATCATGAGAACTTTGCTTTTATAGTCACCAACATGCCATAGCATCAGGTGGTCCTTAATGCTCTTTCTTTAGGGGTCTAGAACTCCTAGTCATGTATTAAGGGTACAGTCCAGTAATCACTAAGGTAAATACTCTTTAGTTGTGCATAAAGCTATCCAACTACTCACTTTCACAGAAGCCCCACTTTTGATCCTGCTTGTAATCATAGGTTGTTGCACACCAGAGCCTGCCGTCCTCCCTGCCGTCCGCAGTGCACTCTGCGTATTCCTTCTCCAGAAAGAGGAAGGGGAAGTGGCAAGGTTCACCATCCGCCGTGCCCCCAATAGCTGTCAAAACTGGAAAATACAAACMCAGGAATAAGATTGCTTTCCTTCAACTCACAAATTAAGTCCATCCACCATACACAAGAAAGCACTGCAATGCTAGTCTTCCAACTTCCAAGATCTGCATTTCAACTATCTTTTTCCAGTCAATTTTCTAATTTATAAAAGAGAAAGCAATTCTCAAGTGCTCCTTAGAAAAAATACAGTTTATAAAAAAGTAGAAAATGAAACAGGTGTGAAGTATCATATACTTCTCAATTCTAAAGAAAGGAAATATTTTTGTTAGAGATCTCATTTGTATTTTGACTAYCAAGATAAACTGCCTTTCCTTTCACTTTCTCTTTTCTCCATTGCCTTTCACTATCCACCAAGTACACTGCATGTCATGAACCCTGTCCTCCAATGTATTCATGAAACAGAGGCACCCACACCAACAAAGAGACTATTAAAGGTACTAATGCAGCAGCAAGTATATTTGACTTGTAATTTCAGTCAGAATTTTACTTCATACCTCCTAAAAATTTTATATTGCTGCATACACTGATATTGAAAACTTCCACTTTAGCAATCTATTTAGGTTACACGGAAAATTAAACAGGTAGATTTATTGTTTCTCTTGCATCAGAGCTTGAACATTTCTGATATCGCAATATTTAGCTATACTTTTTTGAGTCTCTTCAAGGCTCAGAAGTTTTGCTCCAGTTTTTCTGAGACATAAGGAAATACTTCCAGGTCTAGTTAAACTTGCTTAGATTCTCTTCGCAATTTGATTCCTTGGCAAATATTCTCCTCCTTTCCCCCCAAGTAAAGCTGCTAAAACACAAGGAAAATTTCCAAATTCTCCAAAATCTGCATTCAAAAATAATGTTACTAGATGCAATTAGCCTGGAACAGTTTTGAGCAACTATTAAGACACAATACACAAAGTCATGCTAAGGGTACATATAACTATGGTTGAGGAGATCTCTTATCACTGTGGTCTGCACAAACTCCAGGTCCAAGATACTAATGCCACTCAGAACCTGGAATTTTACCCATCTGTCTAGCTACTTATCTCTTACAGGGGAAGAATTCAGATAATGTTCTACATGAGTTTGCTAAAAAAACTAAAAAAAGCTATAAAATTTATTCCTCAGCTCATCCTTCAGAAGCTCAGCTTCATCCTTTCTAATTCCAAATTCAGCCCTAATGTTCCCCCATACACAACTACAAATGCCAACCCTTATGCAACAAAACAGTGCTATTACAGGATAAACTGCTGATTACAGTTTTTTTTTTGTGTACCCTTAAATAATAAATACACCAAACTAGGTCATATAACTAACAAGGAATTACTTTTGTGACAAATTGTGTGTGCAAGTGAGGATTCAGTAGTAGTTACACCTATAGCAAATATGTGGTACTCTAACATGTTGTCCAAAAATATCCCCATGCTATTCTGTAGTTAAGTTGGAGAATACTCAACTGCAAATTTACATGAATTACATTGCTGAACTATTTCCTCAAAGAGAAAAACAGATGCAGCAGGAATAAATAGCTTTGTGCAACCCTGTGGGCAGTTTTCAGCAAAAGCTGTAGCAATGAAGTCCCACACTGACATAGAAAACCCATACAATTCTAGTGACCTGACTCACTATAAAAAATTACAAGTTTCTTTACATACAAAAATCCTCATGACTGGAAAAACTAACCTAATGACAGGATTAAAGACTTAAAAAGCCTTAATTGTACTAGTTACTAAATTATTAAAAAAAATCTCTTCTGCTTAACTTGAAAATCACAGAATATTCAAGGTCGGAAGGAATGTCTAGAGATCATCTAGTCCAACCYTCCYGCTCAAAAAATATGCGTAGAATTTTTTTAATTCAATCTTATCACCATACACAAAAGCCAAGCAGCAGCATTTAGGGAAGGGAAAAAAAAAGTTTAATCTCCCTTAATGGAAACTTGTTTTTTTTCACTCAGGAGATGCAGTATTTGCACCTGAGGCAGATGCTTGCCCTGCTGAGTTATAAAGCCCAGGGTACAGCTGGCTCTTTAGCAATGCTCTCTCACCCAAAACMCAGGCATCCTTCTCTTCACAACTGCATTCTGAAAAAAATGAAACCAGTAACCCTCCAATCCACGTTAYTTACTTCATACTGGATTCTAAAACTCACACAGAATGTTTGAACACTTAGGATTTTAGGAAGTCACTTGCAGTATTTTTTTCATAGGTGTAGTTAAAAATCTTAGGCAGAAGCAGTACTAGAGAAAAGGCACCTGCTCCCACTCTTCTTGAAGTAAGGTACGATAAAAGGTACGATAAAAAGTATCCTCAAGTTTGTTTCTGAGGCAGACCCAACCAGTAACATAATCAAATAAGCATGGTGCTTACCTCACTTATTTGGAAGGGGGAGGGAAGAGGAGGCAGTCAGCTCCTTTATGGATTTTAGGTGGTATTTTCCTGTACACCACCACACTTTTCTACAGCAATATTTAAATCTGTTAGCAATTTTTAAACTGTGTACTAGTTCAGCATTAACAGCAGAATGCTTGTTAGGAAATACTGCAGAATCAAGAGCCTACTCCTGCTTTCTTTTCACATCCCAACTCAGCATTGAGACATACTGGTAATCTTAACAAAAAATGCTCAAGTTGAAGGTTTATTTTCTGTACAAGCAAAAATAGTCCTTAGGTGAAGAGGCTAAGGTACTCAGCTGTGACTACTTTTCATTAATGGCAAGTCAAAAATAATATGCAAATTTATTTTTAAAACTAATAAGAGTTATTAGGCTTATCCRGGAAAGTTATGTACAAAACCATAAGTTTATTAGAAAATTCAGAAGTTYACATACAATTCAGGTATTGCCCTAAGGCTCCTAAATGCACTGCTGGTAACTTTCTCTTCGTATTTGGGTTTGTTCCTCTATCAACTGACTCTCTGTTTCAGCCTGCTGGCTGTATGCCTACTGATGCAATTTCTCCTTCTACAACTACAACACATAGACATACACACACACATTAATACATACAAATTAACTACATGTGTTCATCTACATGCTAAAATTAATCAAATGTATCTTTCCTGCAACTTGCTGACAAGCCAGTTACCTGTACTCTGCACTTCTGCTTCTTCCAAATCCTTATTTAACAGGTTTGMCACTTCCAGAGAGTTCAGCTCTTCCAGGGAATTCTCTTTTTCCTCCTCTTGACTGTGGAAGTTTTCTTCATCATCAGATTGAGAGTCCGTTTTTCCTGCCTCAAGGAAGATCTGACCTGCTACCACACGCGTTCCTGTGGAGGGGTCCTTTACCTGGTCCTCTGCAGATAAAGACTGAAGGAAAGCAGCCGTATTATAACTTAGAAGATTACCAACTGAACAGCAGGATTTCAAAAGTTTTCTTTTTTTTTTTTAAAGATCTGCTCACATATAAACACATACTAACATACTAAATTTAATTAGCAATATCAGCAGTATATTGCTGAGGGACCTTTGTCAGCTCCCACTGACTTCTCCTTTTAGTTCCTTGAAGGAGAACGATATTTCAAGAGGCAACACAACAGTAGTTCTGCTGTTGCATGGAAGAACACTAATGTAGCATGAGAACAACAGATTAAGCTGTATAAAAATGGATTAAGTGCCCTGTATTTCAGACCTTTGCTCTCACTCCACACACAAAAACAAATGGCATATGCCCTCACCTTTGATTCCAGTGACTCATCTTGATTTCCCTCTTCATCTATAAGAGATGTTAGAATTAAAAATAATTTACCACAGTAATTTTCTCAAAAATAACAAAAACTTAAAAAAAAAAGAGTTGAGCTTTAATGGTACTATTTCTCTAAAATATTCTCCAAGTTAACMAGCACCCTTCAAAAGAGCCTGCTACAGTTGTCAAGAAGAATCAAAACTGATCCCCTGATCCTCCAACTGATCCTCTTCTTCATCAAGTTATGTCAAATACAACTGTATCCGGTATTGCAAAAAGCACATGGAAGATAAACTAGAGAAGGGATTTTGTTAATCACACAGTCCAGGGAGTTCCAGTTCAACCACCTGTTAGGCATGTAGGCAACAAATAAAAATGACCTGCAGAAGCTACAGCTTTTAGTGACTAGCTCAACTTTAACAAACAGCTTCCACAGTGACCAGAAAGTCATGTTAGCACCACCCAACTCAGTCATACCTAAACTGTGTTGAGAGCACCAGCTCATTTGGCTTGACCGGCACATTCAAACATTTGCAGACACTTCAGAGCTGTAAAAAATYCCTCCAGAAGAAATTTTCTCTTCACAAGTGGTCAAGAGCTCTGTCCCTATTTAATTAACCCTATTGCTCATCTGAAAGGGCTAAAATATCTTTGGTTAGATTCTAGATGTGAAAAGTTGTCAGTACGGGCTATTAGATAAATGCCCRTTATAAAGTAAAAAAAGTGAAGAGGGGAAGGAGAGTCATTTGGGAAATTTATGATAGTTTCTCAACTGTTACACAGAGCTATTTCTCYTTCTGATTTTTTTTAGTTCCTGCACCTTTAGTAGGAATGTCACCTACTTTAAATAACTAGGCTTGCACTGGCATCCCAAAAGCCTTATAAATATATCACAGCTGAAACGTCACAGTTCCTACCCGTCAGGGAGCTGACACCACCTCATTTATGTGAATTCAAAATGACATTAGAGAGATGCCAGATTCCTTTCTTCCCCCTGTAGAACTCACACCTAAACAGCAGGTCAAAACCCTGAATGAGCAGCCAAGCACAAAACCTGCCACCACCTCCTATTACATCCAGGACTGTCCTCTCCTCTCCCCCCATTCTGAAACTTCGGGGTATGGAATGTCCTATAGCAGCTGATAAGTTAAAAAAAAAATGCTTTACTTATACAAAAGGCATCTAAACTGGGTCCTGGTGCATTGTACATGAGATATAACACTGTGTGCTCTGATTAGCTGTTAAAGACTCCTCCCACAAATACCGCATGCTAAAAGTTCAGGCAACAATGCTGACTTTGTGCTTAGTTGGCAGCAAACTCAACTTGCAGATTTTTGATTTTCACACAAGTGAAGCACCTTACCAGAGACAAATTATCTCTGAAGGGTCAAACCACAAGTGGCATTTCAGCAACTTGAAGTTTTTAAGATTCTAGTGTTATCATAAGGAAACAAYTGTGGGTACATTCAGAGCAAGGGCTCGTGGCGGAACCCAGATCCCAGAAAGACTCTTGATCAAGAAGTGATCTCCTTTCAGTTCTCTGAAATCTAACTCTTGCTTACAAAACGTAAGAGATAAGTGTTGCCCTTAAGCTGGAATAGCATAATAAAAACCAAGAAGGTGGCTGGTGAAGGTGGATCAAGTGCAGGTGAATAACTGCTRGCAGTGGAAACAAGAGATAACAGTCTGCTAAGCAGGATGTGAAGCTGAACAAGTTTAGCTCCCAGGAGACACGGGATTAGAAAGGATCGGGATCAGGCACTGGCTGAGCAGCTATAACCTGTAGTACCAATAAAAGGCAAAGAGCCCTTCAGAGCCAGGCACAGCCAGCAGCACAGATGAAACAGACCCTGAAAAGAGCAAGGAGGACACGAGATGAACACACACCCATTTGGAGAAACACCTAAAGGTCTCAAAAAAAGCTATCTAGGCTGACTACATTTCCACAGAGACCACACTGGTTTTCAGCTTGAGAAATCTGACAGGAATGACTGCAATAAGGCGTGAAGGAAGTTTTACTACCCAACTTCAGCACTTCAGATCACCATCTCATCTGAAACAAAACAGCTGCTTTCAAATGCATTAAAAGTATTAAAAGTATACGCTAAAGAATACATAAAAAGTAATCTTGTCCTAAAACCAAGTGCCATGCCTGCAGTTTCAAGGTCTAAAGCTCCCAAGCAATTCAGACTGCTTCTAYAGTGTGGGAAAAGGGAGTTAAATTACCTAGTAGTTTGTACAAGGCTATTAATACATACCAAGGACTTGTATAGTGCCTGTTACTGTAGGAACAGGCATCTTGTTATTTTTAACAGCTGTACTGGCTGGTGCTATTTTTTTCTCCCTCCAAATCTGGTCAAAATTAGTCCATGCACCTGATGATAAAGTAAGGTCTTCCCTGGAAAGGCTGAATGGCCCAGAGTTAACTAATTTCACTTTGGGGGTTGCTGACTTTGCAGTAAAAGACCACACAAAGCCAATTATAAAACAATACAAAATGTTTAGATTATCTGCACACACATAGCAGAGAACAATTTTATTTTAACTTAATATCCACAGCAAAAGGATTATGAAACTAAGCAGCAAGAAGCATCAGAACAAGCCACGCTCATTAAATATTTCTTCTTCCTTGAAAATAAATCAACCCATTTCATTTCATTCTAGCCACACAATTATCTTCAAAATAGTAGTTCCAAAACAGCACTAAAGCAACAAAATATTGGCTTAACTAGGGCTCTTGGGCTCCCTTTTAAGTTAAACAGATATGTTTGGTGTAATGACTGATAATGGGACTAGAAAAGGGATCCTTTGCAGCCTTGTAATGATCATACAAGCTTTGGTGTAATAGGTTACAGCCTCACACCAAATTGCTGGCTAACATGCACCCACTACTCATAAATGCGCATCTACTTCAAGATAGAGCTAAGCCAAAAGTGTTAAGGCGGTCACTGGAAGGTCACATTTGGACCCAGAAACAGCTCAAGGCCCAGCTACTGAACAAAATCACAGATAATATGTTTGTGCACCTGCTTCCGAGATTAAGGCTGATAGTTTCATTTGTTTTTCCGCAGGCAACTCCAACAGACATTTTAACTAGCTTTTTTTGTCCTGAATTTGAAGCTGTCACCAAGATTGCCTAATTCTGCAAGCAGTTGCTGAAAAGAAGCCAGTTGGAAGCTAATCCCTACCATTTGTTAAACAAACCAGAGATACATTAAAAGGAAAAAGTAGACAAAATTACTTAGGACTGAAACAGGTGACTGCTAAAAAAGCTTCATTTATAATCAATGCTAAAGTACCTACACTGCTATGTGTCTTGGTGCCCAGCTAGGATTCTAGGGCACTGTATAAAGCTAAATACTTTTTCAAGCATCCAGCACTCCATATGTAATTGAAAGCAACCTTTAAAATTCATTCACTTTTCCTCGGTGAGTCTATTTAAACAGAGTAAAAATAGCCTGGCAACCTATGCTAAATGAGAAAACAAGATCCTACCATTCTGGGGAATTGCTGGTTTCAAAGGAGATGCGGAGGGAGGGTAGGAATACGAGGGGCTGTGAAGTTCTGAGACCACTCTCATGCTGGGAAAGTCCAAGAGCACCAAAGCTTGAGCCCTGCTGCAGCCAAGGAACAAATGAGCTGGAGAGCTGTAGCTACCAGGGAAGCAGCTGCTATTTGTTTGACTTCAGAATGACCCCTCACCTTCAGAAAATTGCTGAAAATTCAGAAACTGCAGAAAATCTCACAGATCTGGTGAAAGCCCCAGCACAACACTGACAGTCAGCTTGCTCCCTGTTTCTGCCTCTTTTTCCAAGCTCGCAACACTATAACAAGGCAAGTGGCAAGGCTTGAGAACATGAGAACCTGTGGCATTTTTAGTTATTTCTTGCATTGTTCTTTCTGTACAAACACCTAATCACACTGGGAAACAGAACACAGGCTTTTTTATCCTGCTGCTTGAGAGGGGGAGGGGRAAAGGAAACCTTCAGAAAAGTCTTCCCTAGATCAGCTCTTTTTTTTCCCAACTGTTAAATTTAAAAAAGAAATAACAGAGACACTGCTCGTATTCCAGAAACCTTCAGCATATGTGCAAGTAAAGCAAAACCCTGATCTGCCATCTATTCCACAAGGCTTGTTCCAAAATATCCTYGGCAGCAAGTAAATTGCTCCAGCTACAATCTTTGCAGTGCCTTCATTTTAGGGCAAGCACAGGATTAAGATACAGGTCAGGCCTCACCCTGAATACAAATCTCTTCTATCCTCCTTGCAAGAGCTGGCCAGTTATTTACAGGAGTTATCCTTTGCACCAACTCTCTTGCAGGAATGGAAACCCTTATCAGACAAGATGACAGAAGATTTTGCAGTTATATAACAAAAATCTGAAAGGTCCAAGACTGAACAGGGAGCATGAATCTTGAAAGAACAGAGAGCATGAGTCTTGAGAGAACAGCTACAGAAATTTCCTGAAGATAGGTGAATGTACTATCATATCATGAAAAATAATGAAAGAGTGCTTAAAAGTTATTCAGTTATTATTCAGTTATTACTGATGTGAGCCAAGAGAGGTAGAACACAAACTAAGAATCACTTCCCCTGCTCAGTCATCTTGAGGGAACTTGCCCTGCAAGCAAGGAAGAAACCAGGAATCAAATAAAATCTGCAAGGAGYAGCAAGAGGAGCCCTTTGGTCGATGTTCGTAACAAATGATCACACAAAGGGCAGAAGGCCCCGGCTGCCTTCCTAAGCAGGAGCTSGGGCCAGAACAGGAGCAGCTACTGCCCTGGAGCTGCTTTTGCCCCAAGGGCCCTTCATGTCTGTGCACCAGCCCCTGCTGAACGGCTCTGGGCAGACACGAGTGGGAAAGGCCTCTCTGTTACAAGCTGCTCCCAAGAGCAGGACACTCAGCACCCACCCCTGCACCCTGACCGGCAGCGCTGCTGCGTGGTGACCGTTGCTGGGTTGGGAATGGCAGCTAACGCTCTGTGCATCTTCGTGGGGAACATCCATTGTGCTTGTTCAGTTGGTTTGGAACACACCAGGGCTTCTGAAATGCAGAATGAAGCTATGAGAACCTCACACTCACAAGCACAGCCTGGAGAGGGGAAATGCAGTCCAGTCTGAACAGCTGCATTCTGCACACTACAAAGAGCCACTGATGGGGCTTATGCCAGGCAACAACACCCTTTATTTTCACYGAACTTCCAAGCACATAACAGATGGTTCACAAGACATGTACAGCCCTACCTCACCATAGTATTTCTCCTTATATAGCCTATTAACTCCACACAGATAGCTTCTAGCTTCACCAAGCTTTACATGTCTTCTTTTCTATATTTTTGTACATGCACCACTGCCTAACATCATTTATCAACTTACAGTAACCGCACTTACTTTCTAATAACAATCCAATTAATAAAAACTAATTTAACAGTAACCCAACCTAGCTTTCTACTGAACATATGAAAACAAACCCCAACCCCCTGAACTTACCCCCAAAGATGACACTACCACCTGCAAACACTAAGGGCCTAGAAGCACCCTGCAACAAACACTCAGCAAAGCTGCCCACCAAAGGAGTGTGCCCTGGCGTCAGAAAGGCTCTGTGCAAGTAAATACTCTGACCACCCGCCTCCCCTCCCATGGGGGAAAGAAGGGCGTGGGAGAGGCAGGTTAGGGAGGAAGCTGATGAGAACACAGGAGGAAGAACTCATCTGCAGGGACRCAAGAGAAGCTGGGGGGAAAGAAGTGGCATTAGAGGGACACAGGCTGCCCAGAAAGGCTCTGCCCAGGTGTGCGGGGGAAGCCGGTCCCACTCCGTTGSCGGCAGCGTTTTGAGCCGCTCGGCTACATGGCTCCCAACGGGGAGGCCAAGCCAGCAGCTGCGCGAGCGCGGCCGCGGACACCCCCGCCCGCCCGCGGGCCGCACCTGGCGCGGCGGCCACCGCGCCCTTCCCTCCCGGCCCAGGCCCCCGCGCCCGCGCTGCGAGCACCGGGGCGCCCTCCCCGCCCGGGCGGCCCTGGCTCGGGCCGCGCGCGGGGCAGGGCCGCGGCGCCGCCGGGCCCCGAGGCCGCTACTCACCGGCTGCGGCCCGCGCCGGGGCGCGGAGCAGCGCGGCACAGAGCAGCAGGAGCAGCAGCCGCGCGGGCCGCGCCCGCCGCCCCATCCCGCCGCCGCCGCCTCCGGGCCGCCGCCGAGACACCCCGGGAGCGGCTTCCTGAGCCCGCCCACCGGCCCGGCCGCCGCCAATTCGCTCGGCGCACGGGCCCGCCGCCCACCAATCACCGGCACACAACTGCGGCGCGCACAGCCCACCAGGGGAACGGCTTTCTCTACATGGCCCGCGCCTATTGGCTGCTGGGGGGTATTTATAGTGCGATACGCCCTCCTGCTGGCCAATGGCGCCACGGAAAGAAAGCACGTGCCTCCGGCAGCGCCGGCTGTGCCAGCGCACCCCCCTGGCGCGGCGCTCGCGATTGGCTCGTGCCCCTTTTCCTACAGCCCCCGAGGTGCCTCGCGCGGGTCACGCCATCGTCGCGGCGGAAGTGACGACGGGCGGTGAGGACTACACGGCCCATCATGCCCCGCGGCAGCGGCGAAGGAGGGGGCGTGGCCGCCCGGGGCGCGCGGAGGCGGCTGCGGCCGCCGGGGGCTGAGCGGGGGGGGGGCGGGCGGGCCGAGCGTTCGAAGCAGGAGCGCGGGGAGGGGCCGTTTGCAACGGTCGAAGGCGTTGGGGCGTGGCGGGGGCGAGGCCGCTCTGGGGGCGTGCGGGGCTGCCCCTGGCAGCGAGCGGCCCGTGGAGGCGGCAGAGGGGCCGGCTGGGAGGCGCGTCCGCAGGGCGGTGCGAGCCCCGAGGGCCTGGCGAGCCCCAAGGGCCGGGCACGAGGCTGCGCTGAGTTAAAGCGCGCTCTGTGTCTGCCAGGGTTTATCTATCGTCCTCCTGTCCCTCGCGCTCCTTCCTGGTGGGGTGCGAACAGCCAGCAGCAGCAGCTGCTTCCCCGCGGGCGGGCGCTGCGCAAGCGGCG